TTCTTCCTTTGGAGCTGGATGACTTAAATAAATCTTACGATCTTTAAATTCATAATCAGTGAATTTTTTGATAATTGAATCTAAATCTTTAACTTCTGGGGCAAAAGTAATGAAAACATAACCTTTACTCTTTGGTGTACCTCTTTTACCATTCTTGGTTCTTGGTGATCTGGTTGGAATTTGAATTGATTCAATTGAATAATCTTTGAACAATTCTTTTAATTCTTCTTTAGTGGTACTATATTCAATGTTACCAACATATAATTTGTTATTTGATGGAGTAGTGGCAGTTTCAGCAGACATTTTTAATGGAAATTTGATCGAAAGTTTTAATATTCAACAATTAAGAATTTGATAAAAGTTTTAATATTCAACAAAAGAGAACTCTTTTTTTCTGTGATTTTTGTTTTGTTTCAATTGTAAAGAAGTTGTCAATTGATTCTTTTGTTGATTTGAAGTCAAGTGCTTTTTTTTTGGCCAACGATTTGTTTTTTTGAATTTTTCTACAAATTTCCAAAGAAAAATGTGGCTCAAACCAGGTAAATGACAATGGATAAAATAGGTATAAAATTAGGATTAACTTGGATTTTTTTAAGGAAAGTGTAATTTTTGATTGGATAATTTAAATTATTGGGTATGATTACATATTATTATCTCTTTTTTAGTATATCTCATCTATTCAATTAACTCTCAATTCTTCAGTTTCATGATCCAATGGAAATTTTTCAATTGGACTTGCGCAGCTCGTGTGATTCTCAAAAAAAAACACTCATCAGTTGATAAAAGTTGATGAAATAGGATATTTTATATAGTTAAGTGTTCAATTAAACTTGAAAAATGGACTAAGCATATTAACATTGACTATAAGTCTAGTAATTGGATCAATAACTTTTGAATCAAATTTGCTATTTGTATTATTAGCTATTCTGCTGACTAAGCAATTACAAAGAGATACTGTCAATCACGTTACCTTACAAATTTCGAACTAGTCCGTGATAGTTTAGTGGCTAGAATCACCGTTTGTCGTTTGACAGTACATGGTAGACCGGGGTTCAATTCCCCGTCGCGGAGCTTATTTTTTGCACTTTCCGGGAAAATTCCAGTTTTAAGGGTCTAAATGGCCGTTTTCCTTTATTCTTTTTGCATTTATGGGATAAGTATAGTCCATTACATCTGTTTTCATACTTTTTAGACCATTTCATCTCCATTTCCCGTTGTTTTATTCACTTTTCCTGTCAAAATTTTTGGATTGTTTCCAATTTTTGAAATCTGAAAATCTGAAATCTCATGAAAAACACGAATTTGATCAAGAAACAAACTACAAAACAATCAACATTTAATTCAACTGGTTTGGTAAAATAAAGAAGAAAATCAAAAATGAACAGCTACATCCAGAACTATGGCGTGAGTATTACACAGCTGCTATTCTTCTCTAGACATGTACTAACACCCACAAAGGACCAACCTCTTGACCTGAGTACAGCGCCATCATCTTCATCAAACGTTTCAAGTTATTTCATGAATCAACACCATTCACAATCAAGTAATAACGGGAACAATAATAACAATGGCATATCTAATCAATTTTGGAGAAAGCCAAATACTGCAAACACAACTTCATCTTCCACGTTCACTCCAATAACATCTGCAAATAACAATAATAACAATACTGCTAATTCATCAACATCTACAATCCCACCACAATATTCAAACCAACAAAGATCTTTTAATAACGATCGTCATTTCAATCAAATCCCAGCAAATAACAACAATAACAATTTTGATTATCCTTCAAATAATAATGAAAAAGAAGAACGTTTAAAAATTGATTTGAAAATTAAAGAAAGTCAAATAGAATCATTAGAAAATGAAATTCAAAGATTATCTGAATCAATGAATTTAATTGATTCCAAGAATAATAACTCATTATTATCAAATAATCAACAAATTCCTAAAAATATTAATGAAATTTTTAATAAATTAACAAATAATTATACAATTTTAGAAAATGAATTAAATGATACAAAAAAAAGATTAGAATCTTTAATCACTTCAATCACTTTAAATCCAACAAATTCAATAACTAATAATGGAAGATATGATGAATTGGAAATTTCTCACAAGATTATTTTAAAATTAGATTTATTAAAACAAGCAAATGAAGAAATGTTGAAACAATTAAGTTTTGGTAAAAGTAAACAAGTTGATATTGAATTAAATTTATTAAAAATGGAAAATGCTAAATTAAAAGAAAAGTTGAAAAAATATGAAGAAAATTAATA